ACTCTATACATTTTGCTGTGAAAACTCTGACTCGTATAGAATGAGTAGTTTAATGGGCTTTTATAGCAAAAATGTATAGCGCGTCGACCGATATAATCACCGATTTGGACACCAAGGACATTCCGCTAGATTACCGGACCTGGGCAGTCCTATTATACCATACCATACGAGTATAATTCACTCGGTTTTAATTGCAAGATATATTCTTGCTTTTATGGATCCATTACTAACAGGAGTTCCCTTAATCTGAACCATACCATACGAGTATAATTCACTCGGTTTTAATTGCAATTAGCGTGATCACTTCCCGTTCTTGCATTGTTAGTTTACAACCAATTAAATTTTGAGGCCGTTTTAAACAATTTTGCACTTTTTAGTACATAATATTATGCACTCAAGAACTCTGTAGGAATTAACCCATTAGAATGTACTAGTTGATTTTTGTACTTATAGTGCATTTTATTGGTGAGAGTTATAATACGTGAACAGTATATTTAATACTTGTTATTTCATTTAGTAGAGCCATTAAGTACTATGGGTTGACATAATACATTTATTTAAGATATTTTAAAACAATTGATTATAAATAATTTTTGTAAGTATTCAAAGTTGTAAATCTTTTATTGTATTAAAGAAAATTTTAATGATTATACAATTGTATAATGCTATGTTTTATGCTATATTGCCAATAGATTTACTGGATTTTAGTGATGGTTGAGCTCTGAGTATCCAAAACACAAATATCTCCTGTTTTGAAGGCACGACACGCGCCCTCCACTGCTATCAGACACGGGATTCCGTATTCTCTGGCAATGACTGCCCCGTGAGATATGGTTCCACCGATTTCTGTGATAATACCCGACAGTAGAGGGAAGTATGGACTCCAACCGATGTCTGTCGAGTATGTGATCAGTATATCTCCCGGCTATTCATTATAAATGTCAAATATTATTATTAATTAGATTAACTCAACTTAATATTAACAGAATTCCTAAATACCTGAATATTGTCAGCTTCTGTGATATCCTCAGAGACACAAACTCTTGCTTTTATGGATCCATTACTAACAGGAGTTCCCTTCATCTGAACCATACCTGTGCCCAGATTTGGAGGAATAATTCG